TTTCCTTTGATTTGGCTCATGTCTCATGAAATGCTCTTAATTATAATATTTAAAAATTCAATTTAATTTATGAACTATTTCAACTCGGGAAGATTTCCTTCAATTCCAAGTTTCACTTCTCACAATCTTCTCTCAGCTATAAACATTTATCAAATAGATTCCTAATAGCCTTGAAGTTTACTTTATCTACAGCTGCAATATCTTTCTTATGTCTCACTCAGTTGAGCGTGAGCTAAATTTCACTTTAAAAGACGCATATATCTGCCCCACCTCCAGTCACAATTAAATATTTTCCTGCTTCAGTCTACAATTAAAAAAGAGAACAAATAAAATTATAAAAAAAAACTGCAGTTTCTGTGTCTTTGTTTCTTTTGCGTAATTATTTTAAATAATTTCCTTGGCCCAAATTGTGCAGAATGAAAGAAGGCGCAAGAGAAAGTGCCCCAAGCAAATTGAGACATTTGTCTCGGCCCTTGCGGTAATTAAGCCACAGCAGCAGAGAACCAAATTCTGCGATGCATTCAATTAAAGCTTGGCCAGCAGCAGAGAAAAGCAGAAGAAGAAGATGACAGAGAATTAGAATAACATATATCAGGTAAGAGAAGTGTGAGAAAAGAATGTAATTTGCATTGCTGAGTTAGGGGAGAGAAGCGGGAAGTTGAAGGCGGAGCAGAGAAGAGAGACTTATGTGTGTGAGCTGGAAGGTAAACTTAGTCTTTAACTGAGATCTGTATGTATCTCAATAACTATTGCTCTCTTTCTGTCTCTCTGGTCTCGCTTTGTCTTTGTCCACCTTCATCTCAGCCTTGCCCCCTCTCTTATAACCTCAATTTCCACTTGTCTCTAATGCTCTACCGCCCAAGCACTCTAAAGACCCTAACTGATGCTCTTCAATTGATTGTCACACTAAAGGTCGTGCTCCAGACAATTTCGTTTACTTATCGTTCGCTGGAACCTCGTCTAATCCCCTAGGAGAATCGTTAAGTAATTTTAATTGCACTCTCACTTCATTCACAATTGGAACAACGTCTGTCGCCCCCTCCATAATTTGAGCTGTTATTAATATTTCAGCTGGAAAACTAAACTAGGAACTAATCAGCTTAGCAGCGAGAATAGAGAAGAAGCATAGTCTAACTACAAAATTCACACACATATGCACACACACACACACACACATACACACACAGAGAGAGATCACGCAATGCACGCAACACGCAATTGTCCTTAACAATTCCATTTTATTTCCTTTTATTATTTCGTGTCCTTTTCGTGGGCGTTTTTTTTTTTTCATTTTTTTGTCTATTTGAAAATTGATGGAAAATTGTAACAAAAGAAGATGAAAATGTATAAAACGCGCAAAGCGCTTAATTTACGAGCACGAGCAGAGCGACAAGTGGAAATGCACTTGTTCTAGGGAAACTTGTGAAATATTTCTGCGTTTTATTTTACTCTCATTCTGCTGCTCAGATCTTGCCGCCCTTTCGTGTGTGGGGGGCGTGACGCGTCGTCATCACAGCCTGCTATCGGTGCAAATATCTGTAATTGCAATGTGGTTTAATCTAGTTGACACAAGTTCTCTCTACCTCTCTCCCCTTCCCAGTGCCTGTGTGTCTCTGTCTCTGGCTATGGGTGAAATCTTGAAAAGGCAAAAAAAATGTCAGCATATAGGGCTTGAACATAAATTACATTATTCTTTGTCAACATTTGTGAGTCAAAAACGTGTTCGCTGTTCATGTTAAACAAATAACTCACTTGTTGCTGCTGTTGCTGCTGCTGCGGCTGCCTCAACTGCTGCTGCTTCTTCCTCATCTTGATGTTGTTGTTGTTTATGCGACTGTTATTTACGAGACATCAGTCAGGCTGCTTTTGCAGGTACCCAAAGCTGTCCCCCTCCCCCCTCTCTCGCGCCACTCTCTTGGTCGCTGGCGTGTTGTAATCAGAGCATCCTTAATAAATCATAAATTTATTCGGGGTCTCTCGCAGGCGCATGTAAAGATTCGCAGCCAGGGTCTTGCATTTGTTTGCTCGCAATTCTGCATGCATACATACATATATATTATATATATCTTTATATATATATATATGTGTGTGTGTGTAAATACTTTCGTGTTCTGCTCGCTCGTTGTCAAACATTTTATGAAGTTCACACAAAGAGCGTTCGATTTTGCACCAGTTTTGTCGTATGTCGCCCAATGCGACCGCCACCAGAGACCCAAATCCCCTTGCTCTACCCCTCGCCCCACCCCTTCGTAAGCTCCTCAAAAAAGAAAAAAAAGGTATTGATGATGTTGTTGTATCTCATCTTTTGTGCTCTTGTGTAGCCTTTGCTGCATACATTATTTGTAGCCCAAGTGCAACAAGTGCTGCGTGTAGTTATGCAACTATTGGCCCGACTAGTAGATACCCTGCTTAGACTTAGAATAGCTTTTCCTTTTTACAGCTCTTAGGTAAAACTGGAAAAAGATGCTACTTTGAGAATAAGCAAGGCTTAGGGTTAGATGCCTAAATTCCGCTTGGAAACTCTTTGAATGCAGCTTGAACGAAAAATTTTATACTAAAAGTAAAATATTTGAATTCTTAATACACTTAACGTGAATTCATATACCAATTTTGTTGACTTCAGCTGCTAAAGTTTCGAGTTATTCAGTTCTTAAAGTACTTGGAAACAAGAATCTTTGAAAAAATGACACTTAAACAGCAAGCAGATCTATCTGCACAGATTCGTATTCACTACAGATAAAATCAGCTTTAGTTGGGACTTTCGTTTTGGCACAGGGTATATGGAAAGAAAAGCAAAAACAAAAACCGGAAATAACAATTCGATAAATGCGCCATGAAGATGCGGCCCCAAAAAACAGCCGAAGCAAAAGCTGAAGCTGAAGCTGAAGCTGAAGCTGTAGCCTCTGTTGCATGAGCCGCAAAAGCGTTCGTTTAGCTGCTGGCTGCGTTGCGAATTGATTGCAACGAGACCCCAACAACAACTCTCGAAATTGGCATTAAAACAATGCCCCCTGCGCGCTGCTTGACCCACAATTGACCCCACTGCAAGTGACGGAAATGCGTAAGCCAATTCATTTATCTATTAATGAGAGAGAGAGAGAGAGGAGTGCGGGAGAACGAGAGAAAGGAAGAACTGCAGCGGAAATGCGCGTGGGAGTCTTTTGTTGCTTAAGCACAAAAGTTCTTGACTAGAACATGCGCATCCGCTTAGCCCGGATCTGTGCAAATCTCTATATGCATATACATGCCTCTATATATACATATATATATATAAATATATGTATGTGTGTGTCGGCTTGTCGGCTTTGCTTTGCTGCTTATCTGCTTTAAAGCATCGCGAATTGTAAAAGCCAGCTTCCGTTCCAAGCTGCGCTCCCCAACAGCTCAGCTCCAAAGACAATTGCTTGGCTCCTTTGTCGGGGGCGATTTTATATATACACATACATTCACATACATATCGATGTATATGTTTTTATATATAACTTTGTTCATGCAAAATTGTTGCTGCATTTCGCGCATATCTCAAAATTAGTTCAATTGAAAGCATCGATCGATCGATCGATCGATCGTCTGGAATTGGCGGCAACAACTTCGCTGCTTAACCTTCGCCATTTCGCCTGTTGTGTGCATATGCAAAAATGCTTGCAGTAATTTAACTTCTCTGTTGCGCTTCGCTCTGCTCTTTTGGCCAGGCCAAATCGTTTGCATAATTTGCCCAGCACAATTTGTCGCCAGTAGAGACGCGTAACGGTTCTCGAAGGTAGTTTATTTTGCGCAATTTGATGAGGAATATAGATCGGAAATCGAATCGAGCATACGAAATTAAATATTTCTCGGCTTGGCTGAAAGGGAGCAATGAAATAACTTGAGATTTTCATTCAATTGATGGAAACTAATGTAGCATATAAGTTTCTGACTTGATATTGCTCTACAGCTATATTCATTCAAATCATAAATATAATTACTAATATCTAAATATATTTATATATTTTATATCTAAATATTTTATAGCTTCAGAAATCTCTTCCACTTCACCTTAAATTTCAATAATCCTGAAACATCCAATATTCAATTTTAATAATTTCATTTAATAGAAATGCTCATCGAGTCTATTAAAAATGCTTGTAATTGATGCCTTTGATACTATCTATATCTAGCTTAATTGTATTCTGCTCCATATATCATATATCGCTATATCCAGAATTTTTCTAAAAATTTTATATCTTCAGTCTATACTTAAAGTCTAATATAATTTGTATACAAATTTCCTTTTAAGAAACATAGAGTCTACTACTACTACTACGCTCTTTAAGCTATATATAATGAAATTGTTCTATAGAAAAAATAGTAAATAGGCTTGACATCAGACTGAATATAAAAATTATATATTTGTTTTCTGCCCTTTTATATATATGCTTAAATATATAAAAATTAAGTATTTATAAAAAGAAGTGAATGAACCAATATTAATATTTTTATTTTAAAGAATCGAAAACATATCTCTCTTTTAACTAATTATATAATTTAAATTAGTTATAAAAAAAAAACAACATATTCTAATCCTTACAAAAAAATTAAAAAAAAAAATTAAAATTTTTAAATATTATTTTTTTAATATTTAAAAAAAATCCCCACAGCTGAATAGCAAATTAAAGATTTCCTTTAAGATTTTCCTTCCCGGATATATAAACTCATTATTTTTTTTTTAATAATTGTTTACTATAATTATAATTAACAGTTTAATGTCCTCCATCAAAAAAGAATTTCTTAAAACTAATTGTCTTCCATGTTAAGCTAGTTCTTAAGTGTAGGCAGTCTTATAAACTATATAAAGAACAGGCACATTCAGCGCACTTAAAACTAATTTGTACAAAAACAAAAAAAAAGGTTCGAAAAAAATTGTGCTTAATAATAGAATAAATACTTGAGCGTTGGCTGAGGTAATACTTGATGTGGTTGAAACTTGACTAGTTGTTGTTGAAGGGAATTGTTAATAAGGCTTAGATATCGTCCTGCCAGAGCGATATGTAGTCGAGTATGTCGTCATCCTCGGCGCCCGAGCTGCACGAATTGTTGGGATAATCTTCGTAGCTGCCGGCGCTTGTCTCCTCCTGCTTGAGCTGAGCGGGCGGGCAGGCGAAATAGGATGAATCGAAGCTGGAGCTGCTGGATGATGAGCACGAGTTGGAGCTGGGCGAGATGAGCTGCAGCTGCTGTTGCAGCGCAAACAGTTGCTGCTGCTGCTGCTGCAACTGTTGCTGCTGATAGCTAAATTGTTGCTGCTGTTGAGCAAGCTGTTGCGGTTGCTGCTGCTGCTGGTGTTGCTGTTGCGGCAGCAACTGCTGCTGCTGCTGGTGCTGCTGCTGATCGTTGTCATCGATGACACGCTGCAGCCGCCTAATATACTCCACGGCCATGCGCAATGTGCTGACCTTGCTGAGCTTCTTGTTGGCGCCGGGTCCAATGCCGCGTCTGCCATTGCTCAGATCGGCAATGATGGCAACGGGTATGTGCTGGCGCAGCTGGCTAAAGCCATTGTTCACCTGCTTAACGCGATTGCGTTCTCTAGCATTGCGACGCACCACCGAGCCACCGCCCAGCAGCTGCAGTGGCAGCGGCTCGTCATCGTGTTGCTGCTGCAAATAGCTGTTCGGCTTGGCATAGGGCGCCATCCGCTGCTGCTGCTGCTGCTGCTGCTGATGATGATAGAGAGAGAGACTGTGGCTTTGATTCTCGCTGCCTAATGCCATCTTTGTTTTGGTTTGGTTTTGCTTCTTTTTTTTAGTTTGAGCTGATCTTTTGGTAGTTGGCTCTGCGAGCTCTGTCGCTGTTCTGATGCCCTTCCCTGCGCCGTGCGCGCTATTTATAGGGCAGCGCGTAGCCACAAAATTCTCACCTGCCGCAGCAGCTACACGGCAGCTACCTGTGTTCCAGACAAAAGGTGCAAACTGCGCAGCCAGCCAACCAACCAAACAGCATCCGCTCAAGGATCACAGTTACTCAAGCCTCAATTGAGACTCGCTCAAAGCCAGTTTCACTCACTCGCGCTCTTTGAGCTGGGAAGAGTCTGGAGCGTTGAGTCTTGTGACTCGACTGAGACTGGGAAGAGTTTTTTCTTGTTTCATTCGAGTTTATTTTCAGCTTCCTTTTATTTTGTCTTCTCTTGCTGTTCAGGCAGCTGCTTTTGATTATATGTCTGTGTCCATTGACTGGCTGCCGCTCTTCAGCTTTATCTATCTCTCCCTCTCCCTCCCTCTCTATCTCTCTCTCTCTCTCGCTCTCTCTGTCTGTTTCTTTGGTGCTGTCGCGTGCCGGCTGCGAACCGGTTGCTTGGCCGTTCGTGTGCCTTGCTTTTTGGAGCAGTTGCTCCCATCTGCTCCCATTTGCTTTACAGCGCTGCCTTCCGAGGGCTCTCCTAGGAGCTGAAAGCAACAATAGTTGCCTGTGTGCGTGAGCGTTTTGGCTGTCAGGGTCAGGTCGCATTAACACCCCGCCCGGTTGCATTTAACTATTAACACTTCCACTAATGCCCGTTAGTCCTTTATGGCCAACGTCCCGTTGTCACAGAAGGTCAGAGCAGCGCACTCGAAAGCATTTAGCCCTTGGCCATTGGCCATTGTTAGACAAACGCTGTCAGAGTCAACTCTGGCTGCACGCCAGGCCGCAACCGTGTCAAAGCGTTTGACATTCGCACCTCAATGGCCCAATAGTGAGCCGATACCGTACCATACCCAGCCGACCCTGCCAGGACCACGCTGACCACGCTGTGCCTCATTTAACACTTCAGCAGCCGCAGCAGCGGGAGATTGCATAGCATTGCATTGGCCGCATTCATCCGAACATCTGGTCAAAGTTGAATCTCAGTCGAGTCGCAAATTGAATTCGTATTGCATTTCGCTTTGGTCAAACTGATTTGCCCAACATTTGATTCGCATCAGCTTTGTTGATGCAATAGAAATTCGCTCTGCACAATTTTTCGTTTTCCTGGTTTGTTTTTCACCTCCTCCTTCTTTATCTTCTTCTTCTTCTTATTATTATTATATTTTGAGCCAAGTTTGCGTGCTCGCAGCGTTCATATAAATTGTGAATTATTTTTAACGTTGTTTTTTCGCGTTCCATTCGAACGTTAACCGGGCCGGTTCGCGGCGTTTCGGCACGCTTAATGCCGCCTGAACAGGCCACAATAACGGTTAAGCGGTCTTGGTCGAGCAGCAAATGCTCTGCAATTGCACAGTTTTTCTGATCACACGATGCCATTGAAATCTAGCTTTAGCTTTCAGCTCATGTGAACTAGTTCATATGGTGGTTCAATGTGCTAAAGATCACAAAAGATTCAATATTAAGCTGGATCACAAATTACTTAGTATTACATCGAATTCTGCTTAAAAATTTAAAGAAATAAGTTTTACGAACCAGTTCATAAGTGGTTCCGAATCGACATAAAAAGACTCATACAAATAGATAGAACTTCTTCAGTGCTTAATAAACTATAATATATGATTATAGATTTAAATAAATAAATTTGAGCACATCTTAAGAACTAGTTCGTATGTGGTTCCGAATCAAAATCGACCAGTTTTGATTTTTTTGCGCTGATTTTTGACTTATGAACCAGCTCACAGTTGATTTCTGCTTGCAAATTCCAGAGTTTTTGAGTGTAAATGAAAACTGAGACAAAGCTGAGAAAATAGAAAATAATAAAATTATTTAATTATTATTTTTCTAGTTTTCAGTTCCAAGAACAGATTCGAAGAGCTAAATATAGAGTTTCAGAGTTGCAGTTCTTAGAAGCTAACGAATAAAAATTTTACTGCTATAAATTAGGCTTTTAAACGATTAATGAAAGCTAACAAAGAATCTCTAAGGCTAAAGTTAGCGGAAAATAAAAGCTAAAGGGATGAAGGGGCAATGCCATAATTTGATACAATTTGACACAATTTGACAATCTGTGGCAGAAGTTTTTGGCTAAACATTTTATAGATAGTTCAATTAATAAAGTCATGGAGGCAAAGTCGCTCACTTAGCTGTGGTAGCCCGCGGTGCGCAGAGATGGCATTAACAGCAGCTCTGTGGATGCCGCCACCGTTGGCAAAGCCTCCAGTTGTTGTTGTTGTTGTTGCTGGGGCTTTAAGCCTTTTTCGGTGGCTCAGGTGAGACTGAGCTGGAGACAGGTCGAGCAACAACATATATGTATATATATGCATGCAGCATGCAGATATATTTAGCGATCGGCAGCAGGCGCTATCATTATCTGACACAAAAATTTAATATAAATTATGTTGACATGTTGGCTTATAAATATGCGACCGCAAAAGGAGCGGGCGAGCGAGGGGGCAGAGAGGCAGCCTAGTTGAATAATATTTGTGCCCGCTCTCATAATTGCTAGTAAGACACGTTGAGCAACAAAACGTATTCGAATCCGAAACGCGAATCCCGAAATCGCAATCCGAAATGCATTCACACAGGGCGGAACGGTGCCAGAATCGCGAGATGAAGTCGTCATTAATATCGACTCTGGCCTGTCAATAACTTGACATCGCATCATCATTTCGCCATCGCCAACGTCTACCTTTTTTCATCTTCTTCTGCTTTTTTTATTATTATTATTATTTCTGTGTGTTTTTTTTTTTCGAACAGCTCCTGGAACTCCTTTTCGGTCAGACGCGACGATCATTCGAATATTCGCAGTTCCACTTTGTTGTTGTTGTTGTTGTTGATGTTTTGGCTTCCTTCCAACTTTCAGACACTTGGCGTTACGATTTTTGACGCGCCCCAAGCCAAGGTCGAGCTTCCAGGTATTTGTTGTTGTCGAGGACTTTTTACCCTTAATGTTGCTGCTGCTGTTGCTGTTGCTGTTGCACTTTGCATAAGTTGAATGTTAATCAAAATTCGACTGTGTCATCTTGATGTCTTTGCTTAATTTTTATTTCTGCTTAACAATGTTGAGGGTAAAGGCGAAAGTTGTGTATTGAGAGCCAAAGTGAACTTGAGCCGCAAAGTGTTGAGAAAAACTGAAAAAACAGTCAGATTTTATGGATAGAAAAGTAGCAGCTATATAGAACTGATTCAGACATATAATCTATATGCTCTGATCTTAATTCAAACTAAAATCTTAATGCATAGAATGTTCAGAATAGATAAGATTCTATTTGGAATGTACGGGAGGTCGAGGTCGTTCGAAATACAAATTTAAGACGAGCTTCAGAATCTTGTCAGCTGACAGCTGTTACAACTTTTGCTAGTTACATTTGCTCATTGTTTGTTAAAGATAAAGTTAAAGTTGATTATTGAGAGTTACAAAGTCTTGATAGAATTTGATATACCTCTCTTAGTTTCTGGCCATTTAACATGTCAGTGATTAATCTTTCTGCTGACAGTAGGCATAGTTTCTATCTCAACTTAACAGTTAGAGGCATGCCTTGATCATTCTGATCTTTCTGTCTCTCTGTTATTTTTCCTCTAAGCACTTCACTTTCATACTCTCAAAGAGTAAAAGATTACTCTGTCTCCTCCTCAGTCAGTCTCACACCTTCTCGTGTGTCTCTTTCCTTTTCTCGTTTTTTCCTACCAATCTATCTGTCTCTCTTTGTCTTTTTGCTTCTCTCCCTCCTTCTCTGTGGCTGTCTCTGGGGCTCTCTTTATCTATATTTCTCTCTCTCTCTCTCTTTCACTCAGTCTCAGAACTCGTCGTCTACCTCCTTTCTCTTATTCATTTCTTTTTCTATCTCCTCTCTCTTTTTTACTTTCTCGTTCTGCTTATCTCTCTGTATATCTCTATGTTTGTCTCTATCGCAGTTTCCATCACTGTTTCTGTCTCTCTTCTTTGTTTCGCTTTATCTTTGTTTCTCTCTCGCTATCTCTTTCTGCTCAGCTCTCCCTCTCCCTGTTTCTTACTACTTATCCTTATCTTTTCTGCTCTCTCTCTCTATCTGCCCCTCTATCCTTCTCTCTCTGCATCTCTTTCTCTTCAGTTTTATCTCTCTTTGTATCACTTCCGCTGCATCTCGCTTGCTCTGTCTCACTTCTTATCACATTTCTTTTCTTTATTCGTCTGCCCTAACCCTACCCCTATAATTCCCTTTCTCTCTATGAGGAACTTTTATGATTCGCTCAAATTGGTTATTATATATTAAGCTTTGACGCTTAAAGGTCGATACACGTGCTTCTGGCTGCTTTCCTCGTATCTCTCCTCCCTCTGTCCCTCTTTGCCTCTTTGTCTTGCCTATCATCAATTGTTGTGACACCAACTGTCAATCGTTCATGGCCATCAAATTGCCGCCTGATGTGCACATAAAAGCTTAAAAGCCGCGTCCAGCTCAGGGCTCAGCTCGAGCTCACGTTTCAGCTCCCGTTTGAGCTGGACCATTCGACACCCACTCTGATGATGATGCCTATCAAACAGATCGCTCTCTCTCTGTGTTCCTCTCCCTCTCGCTCCCCCTCTCTCTCTCTCTTTGTTGATTCGTTTCGCTGATTTATGGGCGGCTGTCAGCGGCTGTTCGACTTCTAAGGTGCGCATTTTGACGCCGCCGTCAATTCTATTGGCCACATTCGCAGTGATATTTATGGCCAACGCAAAGCAGAGGCTGGAGCCGTTGGGAGCGCGGGGCGCAGCCACCATATTTGCAGTGAATTTTTGATTAATTGTAATGCGAGCGCTTTTGATTAATTGCGGCCGCGTTGCGGCAGCCAAAACATAACAATTTGTTTTCGCATTGCATTAAATCAATGTGCAGCAGCACTTTAAAAAGAATATGGGGAGCGAGCGGCTACCCCTGCCTCTTCCCCTCTCCCTCTCCCACTCTCTGTATCTGCTGAAACTGAGCGTGTGATTGAATTGGCCAACACCTTGTGTTGGTATCGATATATCGCCAGTATCGATACTTGGCCAACAATTTATGAATGGCCCTCAAATCCATTAAGCAATCGAGCCCGGATAGCCGCCAGGCTCTGTAATTATGCAAAAAGTTGTCAAATGCGGCTACAAACAAGCGCGCAGCTCTGGGCGTTGCCATGCTGTAACTATCAACAAAATATAATCAACAACACGGAAGACGAGAGAAGGCAGAGGCTGAGGCAGTGGCAGCGGCAGCGGCAGCGCCTGACAACTGGGCTACAAAATTAACTCGAAAAAAAATACCGAAAATTGTACCAGTTTTTTTGTTGTTGTATTTTTATTTTAATTTTTTTTTTTGCACTCGCGTGCAATTTACATGTCTCTGTACCAGCTATCCATCTCCTCTGCACCGCTCTCTCTCCGTCTGAGTGCCCGCTCCCATTCGCGCTGTGCCTTGATGCACGCTTCTTGCAAGCAAAACCAATCAACGCGTCTGTCAGTCGCTGCAGTTGCCGCTTATCGGTAGCCGCCGCCGCTGAAATCAGCTTCTGGCACTCACGACGATCACGCTGCCCCCTCCGGCGGTGCCCCACCCCCCTTCAACCTCTCGCTCTCACAGTGCGCTTCAGCCGCCTGCCCACTGTCTCTTGGCCCTCTCGGCGATCCGTGCTCGTTGCTCCTGTCACAATTACAACAGCAAGTGCAGCGGACTAATGACAACCACAACGACGGTGGCAGTCACAGTCGCACAGTGGCGCAAGCACCCTGAAAACTGTGTGAAAAGCTGAAGCTTAGGCCGTTGGAAATGCAAGAATATGCCTAGATATGCAGGCACTGCTTGAGCTGAGAGAAAAGCTGTGAAAAAAATAATGTTCGAAATAATTTGATATTTCAAACTTTTGCTTTGTTTTTCTCTCTTTTGCAATTCATTATTAATT